GAGATTAATTACAGGATGGATTTTTGTCTGTGTTGGTGGGGTGCCTGCTATTTGGCTGTTTCTTTTACTGGAAGAACAGGCATGTGGTAGTGTTATTAGTTGACTAAGTCCAGGCAAGACAGAGAGTAAGGCTCCCGGCCCCTCCCTCTCCTCCTCATGTAGCCAAGGATAACCTAGAGTTTCTATGCTCCTGCTTCAACCTCTCAAGCGCTAGAATACAAGCACTCAGCTGTCGTGTCTGTCTTATGTGACGCTGGGGGTTAAACCCAGGGCTGGCACATGCCAGGCAAACACTCTACCTACCCGGCCACATCCTCAGCCCCAAAGCAGGCAGGCCCTGACTCCGCTGTTTCCAAAGTCGTTGGGCCAACAAAATGAACCTGGGAGTTAGGCATGGGTTCTCTACATTGAACCCGGATCTTCTGTAGACCACCCCATGCCGGAAAGCAGTGGAGGGAGATGGGTGCTGGGAGAGCCAGCCTAGAATACGCTGACACCCAGACCTCAACCACAAACATCTCTGGCATTCACAGGTCACAGCAGGGCCTCAATGTCCTCTCTCCCCAGCCCAGACGCACCCATAGGCAAAGGGACCAGCCCTGGGAGAGACAGATGAACAAACATTTAAGGGTGTCCCGTGTGTGTGCCAGGCACTGGGCCATGTGCTTTGCGCTATGGTCTCCCTAACAACCTCATCGTAGCTCCGCCCTTCCTCTTGTGCCACAGCTGGAGAAACTGAGTCAGCATGTCTGCCTTCACATGCCAATCATGCCCAAGCCCATTGTTTTTTAAGTCGTCCCACAGACGAGCAATTATGCCCTTTCTGTTTGCTGTGTGAGCTCACGAGTCCCACCCTCATCCTCTCCAGCTGACCAGTTAATTGACTAATCAGCTAAGTGACTTCCTTCAGGCCCTCCGCCCCTCCTTCCCAGTCACCGTTCCTGGAGCTGTTAGGATAGACATCCGTATCACACTGCTGGTAGGGACTGAGGTGTCGCCAGGTGGCAGAGCACTTGTAAGCATGAATGAGGGGTTGGATTCCCTTGCACCATCAAGACAAACCAACCCTGTGTTTCCAGTGTTCCTTACCTGCTCAGGAGCCTATGTGGGCATTCTGATAGTCACTGTGTCAGCGACAGCCTCCCAAACGTTATCGGACATCCTGTTTTGCAGATGAGTCAACTAAGCCGAGAGAGATTGCCCACATTTTTAGTAAGACCCTCTGGGTAATGTCATGACGAAGGCTCAGCAGATAAAGGCACTTGCTGCCCAGACTTCCAACCTGAGTTCCGTCCCCAGGACCCACATGAGAGGAGGAAAGAGTCACCTCTCCGAGTTGTCCTCTGACTCCACACATGTCCTGTGACATGCTCTGCTGCAGCCACCACCCCTCCCCCAACAAATACAATGTAATTTTAAAATAAAATAAATAGGACAGGAGATGGCTCGGCAGTTAAGAGCACTTGTTGCTCTCCCAGAGGACCTGGGTTTGGTTCCCAGCACCCACATGGTGGCTCACAACCACCCTCTTCTGACCTCTAAGGGGATCAGGCATACATATGGTGCACACACATGCAGGCAAAACACTTATACACATAAATAAATAAATCTAAAAATTTACTGGCCGGTAGTGGCGCACGCCTTTAATCCCAGCACTTGGGAGCCAGGTGGATCTCTGTGAGTTCGAGGCCAGCCTGGTCTATAGAGTGAGTTCCAGGAAAGGCTCCAAAGGCTACACAGAGAAACCTTGTCTTGAAAAAAACAAAACAAAACAAAAATCTAAAAAATTTTAAATAAATAAATAAAATAAAAGAGACCAAGGGATTCAGAAACTGGCAGTTTGTGGACGGCACCAGGCCCTTCTAGACCAAGATCTCTACTTGCTTTTATTTATTTGTTTGTTAATTTACCGGAGCTGTAAATTTATTGAAGGCTGGCCTTCAACTTGTTCCCTGGCCAAGGATGACTTTGAACACCTGATCCCCCTACCTCCATCTCTCACAAGTGCCTTGTGAGATTAACAGTGTGCAACACCACACTAGCTTTGTTCTAATTTTAATTTTTGAGACAGAGTCACACTGTGTAGCTGGCCTGGAACTCATTATGTAGACCAGGATGGCTTGGAACTCACAGAGATTCCCCTGAGTGCTGGGATTAAAGGCATGCATCACCCTGAGCAGCTGTTTCTAACTTTAAAATGGGAAGTGCGTTTAGATGAGGTAAACTTTCTGGAAAGTCTCCCTCCCCTTGGCCTCCTCCCTCAGTAAACACTTTTACTAGGTTTTAATTTATGTTTTCAAAGTTTCTCTGGGCCAACAAAAACAAATGAGAGCATACCTACCTGTCCCTCTGCCCTCCCACAACAGTAGAGGCCACTGCTGCGCAGCGCTGGCTGAGACTTCATCGTCACGTCTCGGAGATGCCTGGGACTGGTCGGCAGGCTTACTCGTTTCTCTTACTTTCCCGAGACGGTATTTTACCGTGTTAGCCCTGCTGGTCTTGAACTCCGGGCTTCAGTGTTCCTCTACCCTTAGCCTCCTGAGTGACTGGAACTACAGGATGTATCACTGTCCCCAGAGAGTGACATTATGATCTCATTGTGTTGATATGCCATAATTTGTTCAGCCAGCTGTCTTCTGGTGGGCATTTGGTTGTGTCTGATTATTCCAAGTACCTTTCTTATTTTAATTTTTAAATATATTTTCAATTTATCTTTGGGAGTTTTATACATGTATACAACGTATTTTAATCATATCCGCACCCTTTTTCATTTTAATATGTGTGCAGTATATGTATGTGTGCATACGTGTGTGTGTGTGTGTGTGTGTGTGTGTGTGTGTGTGTGTGTGCATGTGCACGTGCATGTAGAGTTCAGAAGCTAACTTTAAATGTCTTCCTCAATCATTCTCCACTTTATTTTTTGAGACAGGGTCTATCATTGAACCTGGAATTTACTATTTCAGCTAAACTGGCTTGCTAGACCGCTTGTGGGACGGACCCACCTGTCTCTGCCTCGAGACCCCACCCCCGGCACTGGATTACAGCTGCACACCAGCATGCCTGCACACCACCGTGCCTGCCCACCACCGAGTCTGCCCACCACCATGCCTGCCTTTTGTGTAGGTGTTGGCGATCTGAACTCAGGTCACACGCTTGCACAGAAAACACTTTTCCCACTGAGGCACATCTCCGGGCCCCCAGCTGGTTTTCTTAGCCCTCCATACTCTGGACAGCCTTATTGTTGGATCTACACCCAACTCCCAACTCCATCTTTCTCAACCCCTGCAGGTACTTCCTGTATGCTCTCCCTTAGTGCCCAGCCCACTGTCTCCAATCTTTCCTCTTCCTCTTTCGAATTTATCTCACCAGGGTTAGGCTCACCTTGGCTCTGCCTCCTTCCCCAAATAGCCTACAGCAACTGAGACTCAGAAACCAGGTCTTGGATTCATCTGGGTCCTTCACAGTCCGGAGCTGGGCACACAATAGTTTTCGGAGCATTAAGTATGCAGTGGGTGTCACACATGATTGGAGTTATTGATGGTGGCTCTGCCAGGCCACGTGCTGGATCTAAGAGCCCAAAAGCTACCCAGAGCAAGAGAGACCCCATGTCTCATAGGTCTCTAAGAACAAAGCCTCTGTCCTATGCCTAAGTGTCTAGAGTACTTGGGTGGGTCATGACGATGTCCACGATCTGATGGGGATCCTTGCGGGACTGGAGAATCATTGTGTCCTTTCCATTTGGACAGTAGGGGAAAACATGATGTAAAGACAAAAAGTAAGGGGATGGGAGCCTTCAAGATGGCTCACTAGGTAAAGGTACCTGCTACCAAGCCTGTGAACTAAATCAACCCCCTGGACCTACATGGTGGAAGAAGATAAGTGACGTTTACAAGCTGTCCTCTGAGCTCCACAAGCATACTGGGCCATGCTCACGCACATACAGGCACGCAAATAAATAAATATTTTTAAAAATTCGTAAGTAGTTTGCTCCTTGCTCTTCCAGGGGACCGTATTGGTCCCCATTACCCACGCCTGGTGGTTCAAAACCGCCTGTCTCTCTCGCTCCAGGGGACCTGATGCCCTCTTCTGGCCTTGTGGGCGTTCACATATAGGTTGTACACACAGACAAATTTCTTAACTGAAAAGAAGGTAAAGGGATTATGGGTCACACGGCTTTGTGCACTGTCCTAGCTGGACTCTTTGCTGTCTCAGTGACATCTGTGTCTTCCTGCACAGGCCAGCTCCAATCTCCATTTTTAGAAACCTTCCTGGACTAGCCAGCGCCTGTTGACCTCTGCTCCTGTGATCTGCTCTACGCGTCAGTGACAGCCACTGCAGAGCTGTCCTTAGTCACTCCAGTCTGCCTCCTCCAGTCACACAAGCCTGTCTTCCTGCTGAGATCTCAAGATCCTTGTGGGATAAGAAAGTAAAAAAAATGACCTTACTCTCTCGGTGGCCGCTTTACCTAGTCACTACGTGGCCACAGAGAGGTCTTCCATGGGTTCTGTGTCTCAGGACTGCTGTGGTCCTGGAAGGGACAGTGTTGACCACAGGCAGGTCTCTGGTCACAGAAACATTTGGAGAATACAAGTTTTTAAAATTGTTTTTCTGGTTTTTATTGTTGCTTCTTGTTTATTTGTTTTGAGACAAGGCCTCATGTAGCCCAGGCTGGCCTGGAACTTACAGTGAAGCCAACTCCTGATCCTCCTGCCTCTACCTCTTGTACCACCACACTAGATTTATGTGGAACAGGGGAATCAAACCCAAAACTTTGTGCTTGGTAGGCAAGCACTCTACCAACTGAGCGACACCCTCAGTTCCTATGAAGTTTTTTAAAATGACCCTCACCCCAGGGTTGAGACTGTAGCTCAGTGTAGAGCCTTTTCCTAGCACATCTAGCATGTTTGAGGTCCTGGGTTCTATTCCCAACACTACTAAAAAAATTAAGCCCATTCCATCCTCCTATGCCGAGTTTCTCCACCCCTGCCCATCTGGTTTACCTGGAAAACAGTGTCCGCACAGCGGCAAGCCCTGAAGGCATGGCTCTTCTTGTCTCTTGAAGCTGAAGGGGACTTCTCAGAAATGTCACTGTCACGGAAAGCAAACAGGCAGATAACTGTTAAATAAGAGACAAAAAGGGCAGGATGACAAATGGCCATGTGTGGCTCTTGACTGCACTGTGGGCAAGGAACTGAAAAAGAAGAGACGTTTGAGGGAGAGGGACAACTCCAATAGAGAGTGGACAGTGAATGATAACAGTGTGTTAGTGTCAGACTTGTGTGTGTGTCCGTGTGTGTGTGTGTGTGTGTGTGTGTGTGTGTGTGTGTGTGTGTGTATGCGCGTACAGGGTATATGTGAACATGTGCATTCAGGTGTATGTATGCTTGTGTGGGTGCACGTAGGAGCAGATAATACTGTTGCATGTCTTCCACCGTCAAAGTTGACATTACCAGTCTGTTTTTTTAATTTTTAAAATTACATTTATTAGCCAGATGTGGTGGCACACACCTTTAATCCCAGCTCTGGGAAGGCTGAGGCAGGTGAATCTCTGTGAGTTGGAGGCCAGCCTGGTCTACAGAGTGAGTTTGAGTTCTAGAGGGGCCAGGGCTATGCAGAGCGACTGGGGACGAAACCCAGAGCCTTGCACTAAGTTGTATCCCTATCTTATTTTTTTAAATTTATTTTAATATTTTTAGATAGTCTTGCTAAGTTTCCCAAGCTAGACTTGAACTGTCTGTGTAACCCAGACAGTTCTAAATTGGACACCCTCCCGCTTCGGCCTTAGAAACAGCAGGGCTTGCAAGGCTGAGCCACCAGCCCGGCTCCAGATGTGGTTTTTAAGGTTTTATTTATGGGGTTGGAGAGTTGGCTCTGAGGTTAAGGGCACTTGTTCTTGCAAAGGACTCAGGTTCAGTTCCCACCATCCACACAGTGGCTCAGAACCATTTGTAACTCTAGTGCCAGCAGATCCGATGTCCTCTTCAGACCTCCAAAGGCACCAGGTAAACATGTGGTGTACGCGTATACATACAGGCAAAATACTCATACACATATAACAATATTAAATTTTTCCCCCAGAGCTGAGGACTGAACCCAGGGCCTTGCACTTGCTAGGCAAGCACTCTACCACTGAGCTAAATCCCCAACCTGACAATAATAAAATTTTTAAAGATTTTTTTATACCTGGTCTGGTGACACATGCCTTTAATCCCAACACTCTGGAAGCAGAGGCAGGTGGATCTCTGTGAGCCCAAGGCCAGTCTTGGTACCTACATACCAAATTCTAGGCCAACCAGAGATGCACAGTAAAACCTTGTCTCCAAAAAAATATTTTTTAAATTTTATGTGTATGAATTTTTGCGCACATGTATGTGCATCACATGCGTGCAGTGCACATTGAGGCCAGAAGGGGGCATCAGATCCCCTGTAACTGGAAGTACAGATTATTGTCCACTGCCATGTGGGTGCTGAGAACTGAACCTAGGTCCTCTGGAAGAGCAGCCAGTGCTCTTCAGAGCCTTCTCCAGCCCCCCAAATCTGGTTTTTAAAAATTGCATTCACAGTCGGGCATGCAGTACACCTTTAATCCCAGCACTTGAGAGGCAAAGGCAGGCAGATCTCTATGAATTCAAAGTCAGCTTGGTCTGTGTAGAAAGTTTCAGGCCAGCCAAAGCTACATAGTAAGATCCTGTCTCAAAATGATAATGCAAGACAAAGAATCTGCTGTCTACAAAAAAAACCACCAACATTCCCAATGCTATGTTCAGGCCATGACGTGGTCGTTGTACCAAGGGACTACCTACAGTGTGATGACCTGCACAAGATTCAGCCAATGAGGTTAGCTAACATTCCAGCAGGCAGAAATAACTAGACTCAACAGATTAAAAAAAAAAAAAATGGGTGGTGGTGGTGGCACACGCCTTTAATCCAGCACTCGGGAGGCAGAGCCAGGCGGATCTCTGTGAGTTCAAGGCCAGCCTGGTCTACAGAGCGAAATCCAGGACAGGCTCCAAAATTACACAGAGAAACCCTGTCTCGAAAAAAAAAAAAAGGAGGAGGGGGGCCTGAAGGGGAGAAAGGATGGGCTGGGGTTGTGGGGAGAGTGGAAGAGAGAGGGTTTGCATAGATATGCTCAAGATGTATTGTTTATATGTATGGAACTGTCAAAGGTTAAATAAAAGATGATTTCATTAAAACTATATTAAGCCAGGCTTGGTGGCCCAAGCCTTTAATGCAGCACTTGGGAGGCAGAGGCAAGAATGTCTGTTAGTTCGAGGCCAGCCTGTTCTACATATCAAATTTCAGGATGGCAGGGCTACATAATAGAGAGATCTTGCCCACTATATATAGGATATTAATATGTGTATTTATTAAAATCTCCTTCTCTTTGGAGCCCTAGCCATGAGGACAGTTTCTTCCTGTGTTCTCAAGAGTGGGTGGTACAGAGATTTTGCAATGATAGCTGACCTGTAACTTCCTGTGTAGACCAGGTTGGCCTCGAACTTATGACTATACTCCCGCCTCGGTCTTGCAAGTGCTTTGTCTTGCTTGCATCACCTTGTGGAACCCTGCTCGCTACCATTTTGCTATTTTACAGGCATCGCTTGTATTCATCAAAGTCTCCTGCCCACGTGTCAGAGGGTCCACAGGATGTGTTAGCCCCTGCTTGTTTGGCCGGGTAGGTCCCTTTTCTGGGACACAAGAACCACGTCTAAACAGCCCACCCTGATCTGCTCAGGAACGGCCCACAGAAGTAAGGAACTCGCCCCAGGCCTTTCCTGGCCCAGGGAAAAGGTGGTGGACTGGGCGGGCCGTGGGGAACCCGGGGCAGGGGGCGGCTCTTCTCCCAGGCAGGGCGTGGGCCGGGCGAGGTCCTCAGCCCTGCGCACCGTGCCAACAATGGGCTGTTGTAGAAGGAGGCAGGAATGTGGCCCGAGGAGTTGGGCGGCGGGGCGGAGCCGGGTCCCAGCGGCAGCCTCTTACCTGTCCAGGTAGCTCGCATTTCCAGGCGAGCGGCGGCGGCGGCGGCGGCGGCGGCGCCCGCACCACCTGTCGTGGGGTGCGCGGGCGGGGAGCGCGGCTGGGGGCCATGGCCTGGTAGTGTCCCCTGCGGAGACGCTGCGGAGTTCAGTCAGGGGCAGGACAGGGCGAGGGAGGGCAGGTCCTTCCCTCGGGGACAGAGAGGCCTGCAGCAGCATGAAAAAGAACCAGACGATGCAGGGGACCTTCAGCAAACTCTTTGGGAAGAAGCACGCCAACCCTGCCACCACGTCCCTCTACGCCACCAACCCACCCTGGATTTTCACCCAAGAGGCCCAGGAGGAGGGGACCAGGGACTTTGGTGAGTGCACCCCGGGGGGAAAAAAAGAAAAAAAAAAAAAAACAAGGGAGAACTGATGGCGCCTCTTGCCTCCGGGCTCTGGCGTCACTTGGGCGCTGGGAAGGCGGGCAGGGGCAGGGACACGTTGGAACCTGCGAACCGGCCAAGGAGATGCTGGGAAGGGGGAGGAGGCGCCGCAGCCCGAGTCGGAGAGGGTGCAGGGACCCTCTAAAGCGAGGCCGGCGAACCCTGCCGCCCTCACCTGCCATCCCGGCCCCCTTCGCAACCCTGGGTGGGGTTTCTGTTTGTGTGGCTGTCTTCGCTGTGTCTCCCACCCCGCCGCATATCCGCATTCTCTCTGAGTCAGAAGTGTTCCTGAGATCTAGGCATCTGTCCCTCACCCTTTCCGCTTCCTCTGCCCCGCAGAGAGCCTGCCTCAGGTGCCCTGTGTTTCGCTGTTTGGGTAAGCCAGCCAGCCACTGCTAACAGGTTGCAGCCCTTTGCAACACCGAATTAGTTTTGTTTTGTTTGTTTTGTGGGGCGCGGAGGGCAGTGTCCAGGTCCCCTTGGGTCTGGGTTGTCTACTGTCTCGGGTTAAAGTCAGAGGTGGGACAGTGGAGAGTAGGGGGCCCTTGAGTCAAAGGTGGTTATCTTCACAAACTTCTGGAAACAAATTGGCCCTGCTCCAGGTCTGGCTATGGGTCGCCTTATCTCTCCCTCCATCTACGTTTGTATACTCTTAACCGAGGAGAACCCGGGGACATGGGGGACAGGTATTCACTTCGTTTTCGATACGTGCGTGATTCTGGGGTCTCAGAGGGAGACAATGGTGTGTCACTCCCTTCATTTACTTCTTCATCACCTTTAGGGCCACTGTGTGGGGCCACAGAGGACAGTGCAGCCTTATTGGTGCTGTAGGTTGTTTGACACCCATATTACTACATTGGGGGCCAGGACAACAACAAGATGTCACCTGACCCAAAGACCTCTCACCGCAGGCAGACAAAACTAGTATGCCCTCCTGCCCTTTGGGGTCCTTGGCTGTAAGACAGTCTTTGGGTGCGTGAAGAGATGCCTCTAAGGGGACCTAGCCTCAGAGTGGAGAGGGAGGGGTGTTCCTGGCAGAGCATAGGCTGCAGCAGAGGGAAAGGGAGCTGGGCAGAGTTGGGGTGTGTCTTAGGAACTTAAAGACACCCTTGCAGGCAAGCATACGCAGGAGTACTCTGTGAGGCCCCAACACCGGGCCTGAATGAAGACGTCAATAGCAAACTCACTCACCCTTTCCTAGTACAAGCTCCCGTGAAACGTTTGATGTCGACTCACTGAGTTCTTGTCTCGTGTACGATACTACAATTGACTTTCCAGATGAGGACACCGAGGACCAGGGAGGTTACAGAACTTGTTGAAGATCACGAGACTGAAATGGTAGAGCTGCAAACAGATGCTTTTCAGTAGACTACAGACTTAGAGAGCTGTCCCAACCAAGTCTGAGGATTTCTAGCACTCCGGAGTCTCGCTGGTGAGAGAGCGAGCATCTAGACCCAGGCAGAGCTCCCGCTCTTAGCCAGTTTACCAACTTCACTCTGGAGGAAGGGACGTGGGGGTGAACTGGGATAGCAGGCGCCTTAAGGACCAGCTCCCCCATTTCCTCTCCAAGGAGAGTCTCAGAACAGCCTTCCCACAGTCCCTCTCTATTTTCCCAGGATGACCAGACTGTTGCTAGGGATCAGTACTGGAGAGAGAGACAAGGTACCCTGTCAGCTCTTACCAGTCTAGGCAGGGCAGGAGTCTAGGGGACTGCTCCTCCCTGTCCCCAGGGCAGGGCCAGGCCTTCAGCTGACTCAGTTAGGCTGTGTCTGCACTGGGCTGGGGTTTTTGGGGGGGGCAGAGAGCACCAACCCAGCAGGCTGGCTCTCCTGCCTTCTGGAGTGTTCCCTGGGGTGCTCACAGGCATGAGAACCCCTCCTCCTTGCTGAGCTTGGGGTTGAGGGAAGGAACTGGTGCTGGGGATTCTGGGGCGGCAGTGGGTTTGCCCCCCTTATCCATTTGTCAGAGACAGTGCTAGCTCCCTGCACCTCAGAGGTTTCTGTTGTTCAGTGTGTAAGGTATCAAGACTGCTTAGAGCAGCGGTTCTCACCCTTCCTGATGCTGCGACCCTTTAATACAGCTCCTCATGTTGTGCTGACCCCCAACTATAAAATGGTTTCGCTGCTACTTCATAACTGTAATTTTGCTACTGTTATGAATTGTAATGTAAATATCTGGTGTGCAAGGTATCTGATATTCAACCCTCAAAGGGGCCTTGACCCACAGATTGAGAAACACTGGTTTAGAGGGGCAGCCTGAGGTCATGTATATGGCAACCTTTGAAAACACAAAAGGAATCTGGCCTGTGGTGGCACACGCCTTTAATCCCAGCACCTCCAGAGGAGGCAGAGGCAGAGGCAGGAGGATCTCTGTGAGTTCAAGGGCAGCCTGGTCTACACATCGAGTCCAGGACAGACAGGGCTGTTACACAGAGAAACCATGTCTTGAAAAAAGAAGCAAACAAACAAAAAGAGGAAGCTGCCTCAGTGAGGAGATAAGTAGCTGCAAGAGACTGTTAAAGTCTTAGTTGCTGCCCAGCCTTTCCAGAAAGTTCTCCAGCAATTTCCAAATCACAGTTTGTTACACTCAGGTCAATGAAGCTTTTTGTTGATTTTGTTGAGATGTTGCCCAGGGTGGCCCTGAACTCCTGGACACTCCATCGATCCCCTGCCTCGGCCTCCTAGTAGCTGGGACCACAAGCTTGTGTCACTGTGCCTGGCTCAGCCCCACTGTGAACTTTGCCTGTCCCCGCCGACTTCATTTCCTTGTCCTCAGGTGGCCGTACTCCAGAGGAAATAGGCATGAAGAGGCACCCCGAAGTTTCGAGGGGGTGGGGCATTCCTGGTCTAAAGGCCCCTGAGACTGTGGCACCTGCCCGGTTTTCAGTGCTGGGGGACAGGCAGTGAATGAAGGGGTGGGAACCAGAAATCCATGTCTAGGTATGTGAAGGAACTGAGGCGGCCTGGTATGTGGCTACAGCCACGTCCCAGGTCCCGGTCTGTTTGCTCAAGGATAGACTGGGTTTGGATAAAATGCAAACAGGCACAGGTAGTGATGGGTACATTTTTCTAGGCCGGGTATCTGCTGATTACAGCCTTACTGAATGCAGTCACAATCCTAATTAAGCCTTCTGCCTCCCAAACAAGAGCTTCAAAGGGCCGTGCAATTGTCTCTTAAGTACTGGAGAAAACAGATTTGAATCTTCACAGATCTTTGTTGTCTCTTTTGATAAGAGACTGGGCCACAAAAGCAGCTGCTGGAGCAGCTGTGCCCAAGCTGCCCAAGTTTCCTGATGCTCTACTTCTCGGTGGCCTCTTAGCTCATCTCATCCGAGGTTCCTTCCCAGTTGCTAATCGTCCCCATCCCAGCAACGGGAAGCTGGGGGCTCTCCTGCCCCGTTCTAGTAGGTGAACAACGCCTGCCCTGCCAGACCATCATCTGAGGCAGACTCCTCAGGCCCAGGAGCTGGACTAGCATTCCCAGCATGCCTCATTCCCAGGTGGTTCTTTGCACCAGATGCTCTGAGAATTCTTGGGATTTCCTTCCCCTGCTGGAGCTGAGCTGCTGGCTTTCTCCCGAAGACCCCTGCAGGGTATCCAGCAGGCTGGAAATAAGTGTGTGGTGAACTGTGGCTGGCTCCTTATCAGCGTTCCCTGTGATGGCTGCTGGTTGTAGCATCCTTACTCCTGAGGCTCTCTCCCTCGCCCCACCCACTTTGCATACCAGACCAGGCTAAAGGGTGGCAAGCCAGGACCCTCCCAGGGCTGAGCGCCTCTGTCCAGTCAGGGCTGGGCTATTACCGGCTTGTAGAAAGCTGACTCTTGTGCTTTGCTAGGGTGTGAAGGAATCTTGTTTACACTCTATCACCTAGAGTAAACACAGCCTGGGGACGCACTTTTGAGATGGGCTGTGGCTTCCTGGTTCAGCACACACTTGCACACACACACACACACACACCCCACACCAGACATACATGCACCCTCTCCCTGTCTCTCTCACCCTCACCGTGGCCCCATTATATAAGCACCTCTTTCTGCTGTAGCTAACTCCAGAAAGCAGACCCCTCCTTGACCCTGCAGACAGCTATATGTAGCCCATAAGTTAATAATGATCATAGCGTTTTTTCTTTCTTCTAAGGTCTCAGTGATAGGACTCCAAGCCTGACTCATGTTAGGCAAGTGCTCTGCTGTGGAACACACCCCTAACCTGAGTAATAGCTTCACTGTTAGTCCCCAGACCCGAGCCCGTAAAACCCATCTATATCTTCCTGTGTCAAGACTCCTCGGTGCGTTGAGGGGCTAGGCATCAGAGTGCACCCGAACGCAAGGGCTCTTGTCAAGATCAGTTCCTGATGTGACAGGTTTGGAATGGGAGAGGTTCAGCGTTTCTAGCAAGTTCCAGGCGAGGCCATCCAACTGCTCTGGGCCGAGACACAAGCCTTCCCTAGAGAGTGGAGGGCTACCTTTCCTGAATCGGTGTCCTCTTCGGTCCCTGTGCTAGACTGGTGTGCTTTGGGCTGCTCACCAATTTTTGTCACCCGCCTCTGCCCTACCTCTCTTCCGCCCCAGTTCCGTCCCCTCTGCCCTTGGACAAAGGCCTCCCTCTGGTGCTTAGGTCAGACCTGCTAGGGCTTGCTGGGACAAACTGGCCTTTTCAGGTTCCTGTCAATGTGAACCTGCTAATTAGCAAGGAAGGGCCTCATTAATGTCATTTGTGGGCTACATTCACATGGCCACCCCTTGTTGCTGCCCTGGAAAGCAGGTGATCTCCAGTAGTGGTAGACTGGAAGTCCCAACCTTCCCACCCCACTATACAGACCCCCACTGCGCATCTGCTGTGGGGTAGAAGCAAGGGGAGGTATGTTTGGGGATTCCAGGTTACTCTGGATCAAAGCCATAAGTCCTTTAAGGTACGACCCCATTCTTCCTAAGTCCCTGAAATCCAGTAGATCTGTGGCCAGTGCTCTGGAGGTCACCGGGGGCTCCTGGCAATTTGGGACTCTCTGTCCCTTTTCTTACCCCTGATGGCTTCACTGTCATGAGCTTGAAATGCTTCCTACAAGGTAGGAATCATTATCCCCACTTTACAGGTGGAGAAACTGAGCCTGAGAAAGTGCCGGAAATTCATAGGTATTGCCTAGAGGAGCTGAGCTGTGAACCTGGATATACCTCCTAGGTCCTGGGTCCTTTTGCCTCCCCATGGACTACACTGACTACAGGAGACCCCAAACTCTGAGTTCTTCCCTGTTGTTCTGGCTGTGACCGGAGGGGTCAGATTCTAGAGGCATGTTGCTGGCCCTTGAGTATGGCCCCTCTTGTTCACCAGCTGTGGTAACTGTGAGCATATAACCTCTTCCAGCTTCAGGTTCCTCCTCAAAATTAAGACCCTTTCAAGTAGTTCCCCTGGGTGGCAAGATGACTCAGTAGGGGAGGCAGATCTCTGGGATTGAGGCCAGCCTGGTCTAATGAGTGAGTTCCAGGACAGGCAGGGTTTCACAGAGACACCCCGTCTCAAAAGAAAGGAGCGCAGAAGATGGTTCAGTGGGGAAGGGCGCTGCTGTGCGTGCATTCCATCCCCAGAACCCACGTGAAGACGGAAGGTCTCCGCAGGCACACTGTGGCTCCCTCACGGATGCGTAAGAACATGGACACACTAACACACTTCAAAAATGGTTTTTTAGAAACAGTATTTCTCCCTACAGGAGACCTGAGAGCCTGGAGTATGGTTCCCTATGGCTCTGGGTTTAGCTCTGTGGTAGGCAGAGTGGTTTCCTAGCAGACACAAGGCTCAGGTTCAGTTGCCTGGAGTGCAAGATAAAGAATACTCGTGGGCTAGCGTAAGAAGAAAAGTGCCGAGGTCATAGTATATGCTTAATATATACTAACTATCAATAGCTTAGCCGGGCGGTGGTGCACACCTTTAACCCCAGCACTCAGGAGGCAGAGGCAGGAGGATCTCTGAGTTCAAGGCCAGCCTGGACTACAGAGTGAGTTCCAGGACAGGCTCCAAAGCTACACAGGGAAATCCTGTCTCAAAAAAAACAAAGCAGTCGGGCGGTGGTGGCGTATGCCTTTAATCCCAGCACTCGGGAGGCAGAGCCAGGCGGATCTCTGTGAGTTCGAGGCCAGCCTGGGCTACCAAGTGAGTTCCAGGAAAGGCGCAAAGCTACACAGAGAAACCCTGTCTCGAAAAACCAAAAAAAAAAAAAAAAAAAAAAAAAGCAAAACAAAAAAAACAAAACAAAACATATATATTTGTTAGACATTTATTTATTTACTTATTGATTGATTGATCAATTTTCTTGCTACTTTGTACGGATCTAGGATTTAGAGAATATGAGCTAAGTCACTGTCCGAGAATAGCTACCTCAATGACCATGGAGATCCATCGCCAGATTTGGGCCTGGGGAATGAAAAGCATTTTAGTAAAAGGCTTTCAACCTGAGCTCTGTGGAAACAGACATACAGAAGATCCCAAGGGCTCCTCCTCTGGGGAAAAGGGTAGGAAAAAAGGACTCAAGAGTCCATAAGCAGCTTGTGGTGAGTCCTCAGCTTCCCCGAGGCACCCCCCAGGTTAAACACACACACAGAAGCACACGTGTGCTCCACCCCAGTCCGAGAACCAGACTGCCTGTTATTGGAGAGGCATTGAGCCCCAGGCCATGTGAGACACCACATTGCTTGTGCTGGAGGTTTGTCTGGGACCCTGTAAACCCTGACACCTGACAATGAACGAGCTCGGGTCTGGGGACTAACAGTGAAGCTATTACTCACGCTGTCCCTCACTTAGCCACCTCCCTCCTGACGGCTCTCACCCATGGGCGCAGGTGATTCAGGCTCAAAGCTTTAAACGCTTAACAGAAGAAGAGGGGATGGGGATCAGTGACGGCAGCGGCGATGATGATGATGATGATGATGATGATGATGATGATGATGATGATGGTGGTGGTGGTGGTGGTGGTGGTGGTGGCAGCGGCGGTGATGCTGATGTGTGCCCATGATTTCTTTGGGCTTTCTTTTAAAAGTTACATTTGATTTAGTGGTGTGTGTATGTGTGTGTGTGTGTGTGTGTGTGTGTGTGTGTGTGTGTGTGTGTGTGTGTGTGTTTCTGTGTCCTCAATGCCACGTGTGGAGCAAGGGGCAGTTGCAGGAGTCAGTTCTCTCCCTCAGGTCGGCTGGCTTCTCAGCGAGTGCCTTTACCTACTGGCCTAACTTCCCAGCCCTAGGTTTGTCTGTGGCGCAGTTAAGACTCACACCTTGCTCACGAGACTCTCAGGCCTGGCTCCCAGGACACTCCTGAAGGCCCTCTCCCTTTCCCCTGGAAGCTTCTCCCTCTGGGTGCAGATCCTTGCCCTTTCCGCCCCTCCTGCCTCCCCAGCCCCCGGCACTCCCAGAACCTCTGGGCGCACAGCCCCTTCCAGCGGGCAAACAGCCAAGAAGAGAGGCCCGGCTTTCTGACTGAGCCTGGGTGTCAGCCTCCTTCATTCTTCCTTTCCTCTCCTCTCTCCTTGTCTCTCGCCGCCAGGCCTGAAGAGGGGGCTGCTTTTCAGGAAGGCCCACTCCAGTGTTCCACTCTGATCCGCAGAGTTCAGCTACTCTAAGAGGAAACTTCACAAGGGTGGGCTCCTGGAGTTCTGTTGGGTTCTGGTCCTTGACCTTGAGTCTGGGAAACAGTTTGACCTTGAGCTCTTGAGAGACCTGGCTTATGGTGGCTGTACAGTCCTCCGCTGACGCTGTCCCTCACTTAGCAGGGACTGGGCCTTATGCCCTGGAGGAGGGCTGGAACGGGCCGGCCACGCCGGCCACTGCCCCTTTCCTATTAGCTTTGCCCTTGTTTTCTTTTAGGATTATTTTTTGCTGGGCATGGTGGCTCACTCCTTTAGTCCCAGCACTCAGGAGGCGAAGCAGGTGGGTCTCTTTGAGTTCCAGGTCAGGGCTATATAAGGAGTCTCTCTCTTTCTTTTTCTTACGTGTGTGCGTGCGTCAGGTCGTGTGCATGGAGATTAGAGGAGAGTTTACAAGAGTGAGTTCTTTCTCTCCATCATGTGGGTCCTGGGGTTTGAACTCAGGTCAACAGGCTTGGGAAGCAACGCACTTTACCAGTGAGCCGCCCCACCAGCCTAACTCAATCTCTTTTGAATAAATTATTGGGTTTTCTTGAAAGTACCTCCTAAAATGCGTGAGGAGAAAAGCAATCCCTGTTCTTTCCATGTAACGGCAACAGGATTCTGGTTATTTAGATTTATTTATTTTGGACAGGGTATCACTGTAAACTTGGCTGGCCTGGGACTCCGCCTGCCTCTGCCTCCTGAGTGCTGGGATTAAAGGTGTGCGCAATTACAGCAGGCTTTATGTAATTGGGATTCTGACCTCTTTCCTCTCTGGATGGAGAGGAGAGGATCCCTCATTTCCTCCCGCCTGCTAAATAGGATGATGGCCTTCTGTGCTTATGACCCATAAAGCAGGAGGCCTGTAGATGTGACGTGTGGACCTGGGAGGAAGTGGTGAATTCTTATCAATGATCAATGATATCAAAGGTCATGAGGGAGACTGCTTGAGAACAGGGACATTGCTCTTCATAGGTCCATGGCTGTATGTAGACACAGCCCCGAGCAGGGTCTGGAGGAAGAGGAGGGTCCAGCGTGTGTCATCTTCCCTTGGGGGAGGGAACCTCCTTTATTCAGTCCCTCTACTGTGACTGGCCACATCTATACCTCAGAGCTGTTATATAAAGTTACACCATCACTTCCATTGTCCAGATGGGAAAACTGAGACCCGGGGAGGCTAAACAACATGTACAGGCAGTGGCAGAGCGGGTTCATTTGTTTGGTTTTTGTTTGTTTTTAACCCTTGAAGTAAGACCAGCACACACTGGTGGTGGTTTGGGCCGGAGAGTACTTGACCTAGAGGGGTACAGGACGGGGGTGCTGGCCACAGGGGACAGCAGGTAGGGTCCTCTGATCTGCATGTTCCGGATTAGAAGTGCAAACACTTGAGAGAAGAGGGCTTGTTTTCTTGTGTGAGATAAGCTCAGGCCTCGGCCTAGCTCTCGGGCAGGTGCTGTGTGAATGTGGAGGGTTAGAAGGGTGTGTGGGAGGTGTCGGGAGAGTGGTAGCTGCTGGGCGCCAAACGCTCCAAGAACACACCCCGAGTCCCTTCCACAGTGCCACCTTGGAATTCCCACAAGCACACCCCCTACCCATGGGATCTCTCTGTGTCAAAGGGATGTTGCTGAGCCAAAGCTGGCAGCCCCAAGGTCTGGTTCCCCTGGGACCTGCAGGTCTGGTTCCCCCAGGGATCTGCAGGTCTGGTTCCCCTTGGGATCTGCAGGTCTGGTTCCCCCTGGGATCTGCAGGTCTGGTTCCCCCTGGGATCTGCAGGTCTGGTTCCCCCTGGGATCTGGATCTGCAGGTCTGGTTCCCCTTGGGAAATGCAGGTCTGGATCCCCCTGGGATCTGCAGGTCTGGTTCCCCCTGGGATCTGGATCTGCAGGTCTGGTTCCCCTTGGGATCTGCAGGTCTGGATCCCCCTGGGATCTGCAGGTCTGGATCCCCCTGGGATCTGCAGGTCTGGTTCCCCTTGGGATCTGCAGGTCTGGTTCCCCCTGGGATCTGCAGGTCTGGCTCCCTGCTGGGATCTGGATCTGCAGGTCTGGCTCCCCCCGGGATCTGCAGGTCTGGTTCCCCCTGGGATCTGCAGATGGTGCAGTCACCTTCCCCGATCCCCAGCTCACTGTCCCCGTCTCTGTCCTTTAGATGGCATCTATTATGGAGACAGTAGATTCGACACTGTGAGCGAATCCGGAACAGCTACGCTGAAAGCCCGGCCCCGAGTCCGGCCCCTGCTGACCTTTCTTCCCTTGGTGAGTTTGCTCAGTGCCCAGGCCTGAGCTCCGAGTCCACTCTGGGTGGTTGCCTGGCCCACCACAGATGTCAGCCTCACCCTGTCTACCTACATCCTTCCTGATGCCAACCCAGGGAGGCTGCTGGGAGGAGGTAGGGCTGAGATTTAGAGCAGGAAGCCTGGGATTAGGGAGAGGCGGGCACTCAGGGGTGGGCACCACTCCATGCACAGCAGGAGTTATTTTTTACTGATGGCCGTTGGCTTCCTGCCAGGCCCTGAATCCAGTCATGATGTAGTTGGCACAGCGGCGTTCTGTGCCCACTGTAGGAGATGCCACCTGTTAGAGCGTCAGCCAGCCAGAGGCAGCCAGTGTGTTTACAATGGGTAGTCAAGAAAGGCTTCCTGGAAGAAGCGGCACTGGAACTTCCTCATTGGATACATAGTAGTAACACTTGGGAGAAAGGCATTTGAGACAGATTTGTCTTGTGTATGAAAGTACAGGAAACCAAAAACTCGCATCTTTTTTGTTCCAAGATGGATCTTGCTAGCCCCTACTATCCAGAAACTTGCTATTTAGATCTTGAATGATTTTCCTGCCTCTGCCTCCTAAATGCTAGAATTACAATTTTGCCCAGTAAAACACTTTATATATATATATATGTGTGTGTGTGTGTGTGTGTGTGTGTGTGTGTGTGTGTGTGTGTATGTGTGTGTATGTATATGTAAATATCATATGTGTGTGTATGTATATATCACATGTATGTATGTACATATATATGTATGTATTTTTATCTGTATGGGTGTTTTGCACACCAGAGGTCAGAAGAGGGTATGAGAACCCCTAGAGGTGGAATTACAGGCACTTATGAGCGGCCATGTGGATGCTGGGAATCAACCTGAGTCTGGCAGAGCAGTGAGCCATCTCTCCAGGCCCCAAACAAATAGCTTAAAGGCCACAGTTGGGATTTTGCTCTTTGATGAGTAAAAGAAACCCCAGAGACCTACTCAGGAGTGCTGGCAGGATGGCTCAGTAGGCAAAGGCGCTTGCTGCCAAACCTGACCACTTCAGCTTAAGTTCGATTCCCCAGAACCCACGTAGTGAAAGGAGAGAACCAGTTCCTCCGAGCACCCCTCTGACCTCCACACCCGGGTCGTGGTGTGTGCTGCCTCTCCCCCACACAAAACAAATGAGTGGATGAAAAAAGAACCACTGGGCAGATGGTTCTGTTCCATGCCCGGACAGTTGCTGGGCTCTCTGCAGCTGTTCAGTCAAAAGGAAATGCAAGTCTCATGCATGACTCTCAAACTTCTAGGACTTTATTAAAAGTAAAAAGAAAATGCCAGGCGGATCTCTGTGAGTTCGAGGCCAGCCTGAGCTACCAAATGAGTCCCAGGAAAGGCGCAAAGCTACACAGAGAAACCCTGTCTCGAAAAACCAAAAAAAAAAAAAAAAAAAGAAAAGAAAATGCCCCATGTGGTGGCTCATGCCTGTAATCCCAGCACTTGCTGGAGGCAGGAGGATCAGGAGTTCAAGGATAGCCTGGGCTACAAGCCTGGGCTACAGGGGACCTTGGCTCAAAGGGCCCAGAAAACAAAGCAAACAAAAATTAAAAAGAAATAAATGACCCTGGGCTCATGTCGCAGCACTACGAAAACCAACAAAGCTGCGGGTGGAGGTCCCTCAACTCCAAGGAACCGGGTCCTCCTCGGCTAGACAGCAAGTAAAGGCAAACCCGGGCTGTGTCAGAGCCTGTCTCATAAGATCATAACCAACAAACAAATGACCGGGCCTTTCAGATCTCTTATTTTCTGTTTAAAAGCGACCTCTGAGGCTGCAGCCGCAGTTCAGTTGGCAAAGTGCTTACATGAGGCCCTGGACTCAGTCCCCAGCATCACAACAAACAAACAAACAAACCAGGACTGTCTGAGCCTTCCTGTGATCAAAGTAGAGGAAGAAGGATGAGAAGTTCAAGCTCATCTTTAACTATATAATGAGTTTGAGGCTAGCCTGGGCTACATGAGCTCTTGTCCCCCAAACAAAACATCAAAAGCAGCCCACAGACAGATACAGAACTGTCACTTCCAACCATAAGAAAAAACAAAACAAAACCGATAACAACAAAATAGAGCTAGTTCCTGGACAGTCAAAGAAACCCTGTCTCGAAAAACCAAAAAAGGCCAGGCGGTGGTTGCACACGCCTTTAATCCCAGCACTCAAGAGGCCGAGGCAGGGGGATCTCTACCAGTTCCAGACCAGCCAGGACTACATAGTGAGACCCTGTCTCAAAACAAACAAACTGACCTATCAAGATTAATACTAAAATCGGGGAGGTGGGGGTGCACGCCTTTAATCCCAGCACTCGGGAGGCAGAAGCAGGCGGATCTCTGAGTTTGAGGCCAGCCTGGGCTATAGAGAGAGATCCAGGACAGCCAGGGCTACACAGAGAAACCCTGTCTCAAAAAAAACAAAAACATAACAGGAGAAAAAAAAAAAAAGCAAAAAATCCTGGCCACATTGTTCCCTAAGATTCACAGAGCTGTGTGTCAGGGCTGTGGCAGCCAGAGATGGTGATGAAATGATGCTGCCATCTTATTTCTAGATGTGAGTTCCATTCTGTCCCCTCACTGGCCCACAGCACATACTGGGGATGGTGGCGTGGGAGACTGCTGACGTGCCTGCCCCTGAACTGGTCCTTTAATCATGACTGACTCCTGTCGTCCTGGCCCCTCCCCAGTCACTTCAAGACCCCTGGCTGCAGGGTCAGTGAGGCCCCCTCCAGTCTCCTCCATCTACTCCCACCCACCCACTCTGGGCCTTCAGTGCTGTTATCCCCCACCCCACCCCCCAGCGCCCCAATAAGGGTGACCCTAGGGAGGCTGGTGGAAGATTCAGGACAGGTTCAGGCTTGGAGGGCTGCTCAGGCCTGGCGTATGGGGGCCTCCTGGGGACTTGCCCTGGCAGCGTTCTTTCTGGACAAACCAGGATGGCCCCACTATGGAGAATGGGAGAGAAGACACACGTCAAGTCAACAAGTGAATTCCAATTAGGTCCATGGGTGTGTCCTTCACAGACCAGGAACTGAACCCAGAAGGAAGGGGACATTTACCACATTCCTTCAGTGCCGGTTAAGTGAGGGATGGCGGGTGGGGCTGCTTGTGTCCCACCCACTCTGTGTTCACCATTCCAGAGATCACACACGTGAACAGAGCCACCCTCTCCAGAGCACTCCCCACAAACCCCCAGCTGATAGCTCCAGGGACTGCAGCCCTGAGACAGGAAATGGCTTGTTTATGGTCCTGTAGAGCCAAGACTCAGCCCCTACAGCCAAATGCCCCTCAGACTCCCCCAACCTTCCCTCCATGCCCTACTAGGCCGCTTTTGTCTTCCCCTCCCAGGACCCTTGACACAAATGGCTAGCGCCTCCCTGGCTTGGCCCCCTGGATCCCTGTCCTGCAGCCTCTTGGCTCTTGGACCCTTTGAGGCTTTAATGAGATGACTTCAAAGGGTCTGAGGCGAGTCTTAGCTGAGGACTCTCAGGCCCCTGAAGCCTGCCTGCCTCTGTGCTCTGAGTTCAGACCCCTTGGCCTGATTGCAGCTCGGAGCCTGAGCCTGCTTCAGGTTACGGGTCTGGAGGAGCGGCGAGCTCCACTCACCACCTGCTCTGGGAGAAGGGCCGCTGAGCAGCTCATTTTCTCCTATCTGATCTCAGACCCCTTCCATAGCTCTGGGCTTTCTTCCAGTGCCTCAGATGTGTGCAGGCTCACGCACACGGCCAGACACACCGGCCCCCAGCCCGCGTCAGTGTGGGAGGGGCCCTGGGCCAGCACCTGAGCCTTGCTCCTTCTGCCTGACGTGGTAGTAAACCTCTGAGGACCTCGGCCCTTCCCTACCCTGCAGAAGGCACCACTCAGGCCAGGAGGCCAGGAAGGGAGTCACCAAGCAGCATCACCCGAGAAAGCAGGTGCCAGGCCCAGCAAGGGTCTTGGAGCTCTGCCTGGGCTGTCTTCTGGATGTCCCCTCATCTTCAGGACCTTTCAAGAGCCAGCCAGGGGATGTGTTCAAAGAGAGGTTGCCCTCCAATGTCCTCCCTCAAAGAAATACTTCCTCAGGTGTCTATAACCAAAGGCCAATCATGAAACGAACCTTTGGGTTCCTTGGTGACCAGACTGGGCTCTGCCTGCCTTGAGTTGTGGAGTGACAGAGGGCCAGGTCCTTACTCTCTCCAGGCCTCTCATTCCTGCCCTTTGGCGGGGTTACTGTGAATGGTCCTAGGTGTCCCCAGCTGTGACTTTCTGTGCTAAGTGACTCACTCTATAATAGTACAGGAGGGCATGGTAAACTCTTACACAAGCTCAGGTTGCTTCCTGGGGATCAGCCTTCCCGGGGGAGGTTTGCTTTCTAGTCACCAGGGCCACCCACCTCACTATTCTGGGGGCTTCTGAGGTTTAGAGCCACCAGAAGGCCGAAGTAGGTGGACCTCAGCTGTTCATCAGGATGAGAATGTACTGCCGGCGTGGTGGTGCATGCTGGGATTCCCATTACTCGGGGCCAAAGGGAGCAGGATTGAAAGTTAGAGATCAGTCTGGGCTACAGGTAGCAGGACCTTGTTTCCAAATACAGATAAATAAGAGCTGGGGTGTGGCTCTCAGCAGTACTTGTCTAGCACGTACAGTACGCTGGGTTCACTCCCTGGTGCGGGGCGGGGAACAAGAACATGGGGATCTGGGCCTGGGAGAGAACTCGGTGGATAAAGGCCTGAGTCAATCCCTGAACCCCACACGGTGGAAGGAGGCAGCCGACTTTTGAGAGCTCATTTGTGGGCATGGCATTTGCACACAAAATAAATAAATGTAATAATAATGATGATAACAATGTTAAAAAAGAGTGTTAGACCCAAGGAAGGGAAGGCCTGCCCTGGACAAGAGCAACAGAGGCCAGGCTTGGTGGCCCACACCTTTAATCCCAGCACTTTAGGCTGAAGAGGGAGGGTCTACGTGAGTTCTAGGACAGCCAGGGAT